AAAAACCATCCATGAAGATATGAGTATGACACTAGGGAAGGATGCCTCTTTCCTTGCCATCTTAATATTGTGGGCAGCAGCGTGGCAGGGAAAGCCTTAATGACCCGTCCTGGAAATCCTGCAATGTCAGCAACACCAAAAGTGATCCAGAGATTCCATGATATGGTGATGACTGACCAGCAAATGACTGAAGTAGATCAGTAGGCATTTCCAAGAAGGGAATACATTCTATTATCACAGAAACTTTGGCAATGAAGAAAGGATCAGCCTGTTTGGTTCCAAAGTTTCTGAAATCTGATCGAAAATGCACCAGGCTCAATTTGTCTAGTGATAATCTAGCTCTGTTTGAAGCTGATTCCGACAGATTCTTGCAATGATTTGTGACCTTAGTGTTGATGAAACTTCACCACTTCCAGGCACATGAGTCCAATCAACAACTATGGAAGCATTTGACATCACCATCCCCCAAAAAGACAAAGACTGGAAAGGTTATGGCCTCCATATTCTATGATGCCAAAAGTTGTCATGTTCCAAAAGGCCAGACAATGAAAGGTGCATATCATGCTGCACTTTTGAGGCAATTACGCAATCTAATTAAGACCACAAGCGATGGGAAACTGAGAACAAAACCAAGGAAAAGTAACAGTGCACAAATCAGACATGGTCATGGCTACAATCCACGTTTGGGTCTCTGAAGTCCTTCAGGACTCACCTTCTCCTAGTCTGGCTCCGTCAGACTTCCATCTTTTCCCAAATATTATCGAAAAGAAAGATCTAGTGGAAATCCTTTTTGACTTGAACATCATAGCAGCTGTGGAGAACATTCTGGACAGCCAAGAGAAGGACTTCTATGAAATTGGGATAAAATCCCTCTAACAACATCGGCAAAAGTTTCAATTTGGAAGGGGACTATGTCAAGTCTTTCTTTGAACTTATCAAATCCACCCCTGTAGTTGTGGTTACCATTCTCTTTCACCATTTCATTATTTAATATGCGTATTTTATATGTCACTAACGGGGGCTGTTTTAAAAGTCTGCCAATGTGTACAGTGGGACTTACACTGATTTGTAAAATCATGCACCATGCACAATTCATGCATAATTGTAGAAAATGACGCATCGACAAATACAGTAAGTGGCCTGCATGCACAGTAGTTTTCTTACCTGCGCCACCAAGTATACCTTCACTGACAAAATCACAAATTAATTTCATCACCATGACCAATGAATTGCCGATTGCCACCATTTTGTTTACACTACAGTATTCATTCATACAAATTCGTTCAGTTTTTAATACCTCTTGACACGTTTGAATTACGTATGTTTCCAAAGGGCCTACAGAATGTGACACAGCAATGGAAGCCATGGAAGAACCACCATGTTATTCATAAGATAGTTGGGTGATACCATATTTTCTTGAGTGCAAGTGTTCATTTGAGGATAATTGCTATTTGAGATAAAACATCACCAGTGATTTTGACACAAAAAGCTGTACACAGGTCAATGACTTGGACCCAAGAAATGTAATAAGTCAGTGGCAAAAGTCAATAGGTCACTTGAACAAAGATGCTGGATGCAGTAAAATTTCGAAGTTAAATCAGTACTTTTAAAAAGTCGGGCACAGCTTCCGCACACCCAGCTACCCGCCGGGTCTGGGAGCAATACTGCCATCAACTTCACCCCCCATCCCCCAGACACAAGGACAACTGAGTCTCGATTGGCAAAATCGATGGCTCCAAAATAATCCTTACTATTTACTATTTAATCATGAAATTATGACACGTGTGATGCCTTGCTTAGCATTTCTATCGGTCAAAAGTCCGACAACTTAAACAAACCATCGGTCAAATAGAAAGTTTATCGGTCTATGACCGGTGACCGAGGGCCATCTGAAACCCTGATCACTATACATAATTCTAAATCAATCTCATTACAATCAGATCTAAGTTCTCGCTGCCGCTAAGAAAAGATCTGAGGACATCCCATTAAGGGTCACGTCAGAACGACATTTCACGAACTTTGACCGACCTCTGAAACGACTAACAAGAAGTCGACATCAGCCAATTAGAAAGCAGCTTTCTCGAGCTTTACGGCACTCATTTCAACCTGGTAGCTTCCATTTCAGACTATGCTTAAAAAATATCTTGACAGAGTTCTTGATTAAAACTTTGAAAACTGAACAAACAAACATTCTGGAATGTCTAATATATGGTTGCGATTGTATGGCAATGCTTCCCACATACTGTGCAACACCTCCTCCCTTTAAATGTTTATCCCATGGAAGCGAGAGATAGACGATAATTTTGATGGAGTCAATCGTACGGGCCGTAACTGTCGTTTGGAATACCCTGCGTTAACGTTTTCGAGGTTGCATGATTAGAAAACATATGCCGACTATCACTTTCATGATCTGGTAAGCAACGCTTTGATTGGTCGGATGAAAGGTTGTTCTGAGGTGACCCATAATGGGATCTTTGTTACACCTTTTACGACACAAGTCACTGTTCAGACTTTCTGTGGTCTTGCTATTTCGATCACGAAAACATGTTGACATATCGCTGACTGATTCCATCAAACTTATCGTCTATCTCTCGCTTCCATGGGATAAACATTTAAAGGGAAGAGGCGTATCAACATATCAACAAAATCCATACTGTGTTACACTTGCATATGACATTTAACAACTCAATGTATGACATTTTGTATATATGTTTCCATTCCTTGACATCTTAGGTTTCAAGATATCAATAGCAGTAATCTGATCATGGCTACTGCAAGTAACGGTGAGTTGCTGCAATCTGCCAAAGAGTTCACACACAAATTCGCCTAAATTAATATAAATACTGAAAGATAACTTGAATACAATTAATATCACAAATAAGTACAGATATATACAATTAAACACTTTATTTATTACCAGATGCAAGCGTAACACAGTATGGATTTTGTTAATATGCTATTTCCGATGACATAAAAATGTATGTTTGTAAGAAAATTGATTAAATTTATGTGAGCCATTATGTTTCGTTTGTTATTTGGCACAGCAATATTTGTTGATGAAAAGACATGTTATGCTTTGAAGTCAAGATTTAGATCATAAAGCATACAATGTTTATTCAGCTGCAATGATCAGAGAGTGAAATTTATGGCCCATACTTCCAAAAAATATGGGGTCATAGGGCCATGAAGAAAGATTACTTCCCAATTATTAACAGAATAACAGTGCATTTTTACATCTTCCACTGGCAATAATTCAAATATTATTTCTAAAATCTACATACCTATCTCTTCCTTAATCACTTACCTCGAAGTATATTATATACTTTTGTACATTGAAAGTGAACTTTGAATGAGGATTTCCAGATCGAAAACAAAATCAGGTTATTGGTTTTGTTTGGATGCCTTCTCGTTTTCCAAAACCTGTACCAGAGCCCAATTTTGATGAGACCTATTCTAACACAGAATCCATATTGGGGTGAGAATGGTACTGGACCTGATGAAAAACAGCAGTAATATTTCCGTAACATTCAACACCAAGTGACAAAAAAGACACTTTGTTGTCTCCAGTCTACTGCAGATATTCCAAAGAAACTCATTGTATGGAATTAAACAATTGAAATTTCCACTTCTCAAAAACAGGATTTATGCAGAATTAACCAGGCTCACAGCTTGTTGAGATTTCAGATCAGAATTCTGGATAGATCCCCAGTACCTGGTTCCTGTGACAACTACAATGGGGAGCAGGTGGTCAGGCTCTGTGACTTGTCTCATAACATGTCATTGTACTTTGATACTGTGGATCATTGCTGATATTTTTGTATGCAAATAAGTTAAACATTGTTGAAAAAATACTTTTAATACAAAGGTATTTACTAGCCCTGTTCTGAAAGAAAGAGAATAGATGGAAGTTGAATCTCTTGCACTCACACAGTGCTCAATATAGGAAAAGATCTATTGCACATAAAGAATTTATATGCTAAAAACCTCCTAACATCTTATTTGTTACCAACACAAAGAATGCAAAGAACTGACCCAATATTGAAGATTTTCTTACTAATTAAGTCATAAAAGTTGAGGCTGTTTTTGTAAACATTAAACAAGTTCACAACAACTGCAATCTTTCACAAATGTTACAAACAGCGGTTACATACAATATACCAAACTACTGAGGTGTCATCTTATCGAGATACAAGTGCTAAACAGATATTTCATGCTACTGACAGTCAATACTACTGTCTAAAAACTACTTCCTCTACAACCACCTGTTCCCTCCAGTTTCTAGTGATATCATGGTTATAGGAAACAGGCGGACTTTCTATTTCCTTATTCTACAAAAACGACTTTCTACGTTCAATTTATCTAAAGCCGCATTGGTACCAATGTTAACACTGTTGCATGTGGATCATTTATCTGTGGGGAATCACCATTTAGAGCTACCAAAACAAACCTGACCTAGAAAAATTTGACAGCTTGCACTTCCGATGAGAAGGCAACCACAGTTGTCAGTTCAACTACCAATGTAATCAGTACGAAAATAATAACCTCCTTATGAAAAGTATTTGCTTTGGTGGGTTGTTCGCTTAATTCATCGATGTCATATAGAAAGCAACAAGTGATAATTAGGTTTCCGCAGACAACTTATATTCAGGAACTGATGCCGTGCTCGCCATGTTGAATTTCAGCTGACCATAGAAAATATCAATACAAGGCTTCTGCGATCGCTTATTTTCGACTTGATCCGTAAATTAGGCAGCTGAGGACTGGGGCACAACCATATGAATGAATACTGTACCCTAAGAAACCTCTTACTCGAGCAGGTAAACGCAAAATGACAGCATTTTCTCAAGGAAACGCTGACCCGACCAGTGGACAGAAGAAAACATGGACCCTGTCAAACCGAAACGCAGTCATTGACAGCGCATAATGTTGAGCAAAATGTAATGCCATTAACATATCGTATCAACGCTTATATTTTAAAAGAAATTCATATAAAATTGTACCTTGAGCTTGCGACTGTTGCTGCTCGTCACCACTCAGCTCCCGATCCGACATGGTGCAACCCTTCCTGAGCAAGCCTCCTTCTAACACTTCATGAATAATTCATGAGGTCATACACGTATCTCGTGCGCTGTCAAACGAGTTTGAGATTTTTGTTTCAAAGGCGTATTTTCACCCTTGCAAACTTATGGATGTGACAGGGGAAAGAATATTTTTCAATGCAAAATTAATTTAGTTAACCCTTTCCAATCGGAGAGCTCTATTTTCTCTCCATACCTTGTTCAGGTGGTTATCTAGTTCGAGGTCGGTGTTTAGGTACTCGGAGAATTATTCTGATTGGCCGCGCGCTTTGACCCGTTACGTCACAGAGGTCACAGTTTGTTTTCAAAATAGGGCATCCACGAGGCATTTGGACAAGTCCAACCTAATGAGGTATGTTCATGTAAGATATCTTTAAAATTACGTGTGTTAATCAGGCAATAATAGTAAAATACATGTGCGCGCACTGACTCATATCAACATTCTCGACAAATCTGTGTTTTCTACTCCAAGACAGCTATAATAATGTGGCACTAAATAGTTACATACTAGCTATTCTCATCTAAATTATCTCTTATAATTAACTAACGTAGTAATATCTTCATATTGGCGTACAGACAATGCGATGCTGTGTATTAATAATTTAAATGCCTTGGGGTTTCTTCTATGGTTTTATATAGGTCTACATATTGATAAATTACTCCGGTCGGCTATCTTTTCTGACATTCAAGCATACACAAGATGAAAAACAAGCAAATAATCTTTAAAAGAGACATATTGTGATTTCTCAAACGTTATTTTAATGCAATGGTAATGAGTAAAACACTTAAATCTTATAATTGTGAAAGAATGACATGCCCCAGGAACATTACTATTTATTCGATTTGCGCACGCAACTTATACATAAATGCGAATTGGTCTTGCATATTAGTTTATATACGCAGCTCATTGGGTGCCAGTGTTTGGTTTATGGAGAAAGAAACTGACTACATCCATTAGCTGAATTACAAAGCTAAATGTCCTTGTGATCCTGAAATTTGAAACCAGGGATGATGCGAGTCAAACTAGTTAAAAACAAATTGTCAACTCATTTCCTATACCGACATAACTCTCATGGCGTTATTTGGCAATATCATTGATTCCCAAGACAACAAAATGTATATAGAAATTCAATTAGAAGAGTAGATGTAAACAATCATTCTTTTCAAATGGTAATTTATTGTTGGACTGAGGATCTTTGACAATGCGTATATTGTTATCTTTTCGTATGGGTGGATCATAGGTTTTCGGACATCATACGTTCTCGGACGGCCATGTTTTTCGCGATTATTCGCACTTTAACAAGGGGTGTGGCGTCACACAGACATTGTAAATACACAGATGATGGCTTGTTTATTAGATAAAGTTGTCTTTTATAAGTGAGTGAGATCTTTTACAGTTGTTCTTGTGATTCGCGAGAAAACTACGAATGTTTCTAAGCGTCCGAAAAACCCATAACACGGGGATATATATATGGATATATGTTGCCATGAGGCCAATAGTACAATGACATTTTGTTGTAGGAAAATACGCCGTGGAGCACTACTTGTATATTGTATCTGTCTACATGTACACATTTGAGTTTTATTAATACTAATATATATCAGCACTTGTGTTAGGGTCAAGGTCAGTAGAATAACAAGTTTCAATCGAAACCAGGCTAGTGACAAGAGCATGTCATTTACAAAGCGTCTAAACAGAGAGCGTTTAGCGCAGCCTGTAGCATGTCAGGCTTCTGTTCGAAGGTCGCGGGTTCAAGTCCCAGCCGAATGTATAGATCATGAATATAATTTGCTCGTCTAAAGTTATAGTTGTTGTAGATGTATATATGTATGTATGCATTAAGTTTAATCCATCTGGACTCCCTAGAGGTGTTATTATGGAGTGATAATCTTATAGGGATATATGTAGCAGCACAACAGGACAAAATCAAAATCAACATGTTGTTCGGATTAGGGGGAGATTAGGGAAGATTATATAATTTGTAGCAAAACAATAAGCTTCACATTTGTTCATTCCAGAGAAAGAAGATATTTTGGGAAATCTGTAATAATTCTTTTCTCAGTAACAATAAGGCCCATGGAGATTTAAGAGGATATGTATAGGCCCGTACTGTGAATTGAATGTCTCAATAAAATGGAAATTTTAAAAAAAGGTGTTATTGAAATTGTCGATTATGTTAACATGCATCATCTGCTCTATCAGAAACTGTTCTATAGGTCCCTGTCTAGATAGAACATTGTTACCATAGAATCTTTGTTACCACTACAATATTTAAATAATTGCAACATCATCTTCCAAGTTGTATTATTCATTCTAAAGTATTTATATCAACAACCGAAAGTTCAATTTCCCTGACGCATATAGATTTGTTTGTTTGTTGTTTAATGCCGCACTCAGAAATATTCAAGCTAAATGACGGCGGCCTGTAAATAATAAGATAGAATAAGATAACACTTTATTATCCCAAAAGGAAATTTGGGTTACATCTTCACAAGGTCTCAGCTTATTGATAAACACATTTATCATTTAACTTAAGCATTTATCCATGACATAAGCTTATGACATAAAAACATGTATGTCATACCCCAATGACATAAGTATGCAAATTAGATATGCAAATTAGATAACCGGAAGAGCGAGCGGTTTGATTTGAAACTATATATTATAAGTGAAGTTACACCTTAATGAATTTTAATTTGGTGAAATGAAATCATAACTGAGATTGTTGGTGGCTGTATCTTCACAGGGGGTTGAAGTATCGTAAAACAATTGTCCCCCTGGGAAGGTACGTAAGTCCAGTATTATTCAACGTATCATTTCCTTTCTCTGTGCTTTTAATCGTAGTATTTTTGTTGATTTTAACTCTTTGGCTAATCTGTCTGACAATCGCCAGTGGCCAGAGGGATGGTGTAAATCCTGCTGGGGTACCATGTAGGTAGCAGAAGTACCGTAAGTCCCCATGGTCCCTAGTATGGTGGCCTAACTTTGGTTGCTGGCGATCTACAGCCCGTTTTTATATTGTATCGTTTATATTGTATCTGATTATTTTATTGCTCTAAAACTAGTTTTAAAATTATAATTTGTGATATATTGCTGGTTGTTGTACTGTCCTTCGATGACAGCTTTTAATATATAATATAAATACCTAACTTGTTCAACCTAGTTCACATCGCTATATGGCTGAAATATTGCCGATGCGATGTAAAATTTAACTCACTCACTCACTCACACTCACCAGAGATATAATCAGATTACACAGAATCGTTGTTGTTACCGTTATTAAAGTTTCAATTATTCTGCAAAAGTCTGTTCAAGTATTTTGTTTAAAATAATCCGAGGAACTTTTTTTCTCAGCGAATTGTTTATTTTGGTTTACATGGCTATGGAAAACATGTATCACTACGCACGATCTATACGTAAGATTTCGACAAGTTGCTGATGTTAATGTTTAATGCAATTATTCCTTAATTTGGAAGCAAAAATGTGAAAATGATAAAAAGAATTCATCACTCGTGTTTTTTAATATGGGAAATATCAACCGAGTCTTAGTTAATCGGTATTTGCCGAGCCTTTGGCGATGAAACACTCGTGATGAATCCTCTATATACAAATAAATAACAACATCCCAAACGTAATTAGCACTAAATGTGGTACTAGCGAATAAATGCTCAACAATTATTGATCACAAAACGTATTATAAAACCTGGTAGTATATAGCTGGTTTGAATGTATTCCGGGGCCTGTGTGTTCTTAACATCGGCAATCGTATTAGTTGGCGACCAGAAGGAAGAAGTTGATACTCCGAATGTAAAACATGCGAGATATAACTCACTCTTTAATTGCTTTTTTTAAACTATTTGCTGCTCATAATTACTGTCGATGTGCTGAATAGAAATGCCATACATACATATTGTAAGATTTTTTTTGTGTTGCGAACATTTAGATTTCCGTACCAACTAGTGAAGTTAAAAGTCAGAATACTTCAAATAAATGTTTTATAATACATGGACATGATGGTAGAGTCAGCTTGAAAATGTCTTAGACCACGAAGAAAATACAACCTCAGTTTGTTGACCCTTTATATTATATACTGTATTTTCATCCCTTGTGAGTTTTTAAGATATTTATACTTGTCTCCAACTTCTATTACCTCATTATCAATAACAATTGGATCAAAATATGAGCTATCTTTCCAAACATCTGTTACTATTTCTTTCGTTTTCCTGGCATTTAAAAACAGATAATTATCCTTACACCAGGACAAAAAAATAGAAATTTTATTTCTGTACTCTCGTTCCGAATCTTTGATAAGACCTGCAAGTGCACATTTTTACAGTAAAACAAGGCTCGATTCCTCTATTGTGGAAAATATTATTCATTGTTCCTGCTCCCAAAAGCAAAACAAACCCAACAGTACACAATAACTGTCGCCATGTGGCGTCAACTTCAATATCTATGAAGTCAAGAGATTGTTATTTTTTTTAAGTTCAGCACATTCTCGCCCATTTTGTTTATTTTGAACACCAAGGATTGTATTTGCTGTTTTCTTAATAACTATGTCTTGGGGTCAGACCACCCGATCCCGTTAGTCGCCTGTTGCGACACGCATGGGTTGCCTAAGAGCTAAGACCTATTCTGACCCGGATCTAAACGGGTCGACGCATATCAGAATGCATATATACTATCGATACACATTTATTATATTAATTTTTAAAAAATGATTAATGCTTAAATGACGAAATGAGCTAAAAGTTAAAATACACAAACCTGGATATCATCCGCCATTTTGGTAATTAGTAACGTTTTCTAAGTGTTTTTCGTCACCTCGCTTAAGTAACATGGTGTTTGGGTAGGTTGCTTGCAACGACTTTAAACAAATGCTTCTGTAAGTAAATGTCGTTTTTAGTGTCTAATGAAAAATATGTTTTGTTCAAATGTGTGGCTGGCGGATTTCACTGATGAGGTTGCCGCGCGTCATAACGGAACTTCTATATATTTTGAGTAATATTATTTTTTGTTGTTGATGAACATTCGATGATTATGAATTTATGTTGTTTGGGGGTTTAATCATGTTAAACCATACAAATGCAAGCGGGATTATGTTTTCTGCTTATTTGGAGCTTCATTGTCCTATTTTATATAATAGTCACGCTATCGCTTGCTGCTATATTAATATCATGAAATTAACCTGGCGGATAGGTGTCCGGTATTCTGTAGGTGTACCTTATAGTTAACGATGACGTCACTAGGAGGCTGCTCGAGTACGCACTCTAGGGGTTCAGTAGATATGGGTAACTAAGGGCAACTGAAGTATGACGTAAAACGGTTATGTGCATGCTGACATTGGTCAA